CAGTCCATCCGCCAGGGCCGGATATGATGGATCTGGAAGTATGTCATGAATTTGCACATGTAGAATATGTACATTTGAATTGAGAAACATACCGGGAATCGCATTCAACAGATCCAAACCACCGGACGACCCAGAATCAGAGTCTAACTCATCATCCGGCCCAAGGTATATATCATCTAATGGATCTAAACCATGTCAGATCAATTCACTGAAATCAGCAAAAAAAAACATACCAAGGGACATCCGGGACTTGGAGGACTCATCCACATCCATTGAGGTGGATTCAGTGACCGGAGGGTCATGAAATCTGACCCCAGGTTGAGAGCTCATGATATCTGATGAGCTGATGAACTTATGAACTGATTGATAACAGATAACGTCGAAGTTCAACACATGGCCGGCGATTGCCGAAAGTTGAACCATGACCAAACAAAGACAAACAATCAACGATTTTCAACATCGTCCTTCAATTGTATTGTTTCTTTGAAACTTCATTCTAGTGATAACAGATTTCACCCTGCTTTCAACATTCTCACATCTGTCAACTCAATCCAAATGTCTACTCCAGTTCAATCTTCATTGGCCGACCTCAAGGCATCCACTGCTCAACTTGTAGGCATCATTGCCGGCGCTCGGCACATCCCGGCCAGGCTCAGTGGACGTCCAACTTGCTCTGACAAAGCAGGTCACCACTCTTTTGGTAAGTTGCACTCATTAAATTAGTTTACCATTGATGTTTCTAATATCCGGGTAGGCTGACATCATCCGGGCCCATGAGAAAGGGGAATACATCCCTGGCATTGTGGTGTCCTGCTCTAAGGAGCTGATGAGGGTGCGTTCCATGACTCCCCGGGCATTGCCCAACTGGCACGGCATTGGCCATGATGACCCCCGGGTGGCTAGACACGCCTGGCGCAAGCAAGTCCGTGCCTGGGAGGCGTTGGGTGACAATTCCTGTGATCTCCCTGTTGTTCCTAATCCTTCCACTGGCCCACTGACTGTCAACCTTCCGTCTCCACCTGTCCCTTCCCCCACACCTGTTCCTTCCCCCGCCCCTGTCATTCCCTCCCCTCCCATGTCGTCGCTGGACCTTCCGGCAAGACGGGTACCTGAGTTCCGGGACAAAGGAAAAGGTAAGGCCGTTTCTGTTGACCTGGAGCCAGAAGTTGGAGGGAGCAACAAGAGGAAGTCCCCGATGATTTCTGGACACTCCTCCCAACCTCCGAAGTCGGCGATGAAGGGTCGCAAGCGTGTCAAGTCAACTCGACTCCCCAAGTCAAAGCCGTTTGTGGAGTCGGAAGATGATGAAGACCCAATTGTTCAGGTATGTGTTCTGGCTCATTTGTGACATGCTCTCAATTTGTTGCAGCCGATTTCGCGTAGAGTGCCAGAGGTCAGTTCTTCCCCAGCTCTCCACCATTGTTGTGAGGACGCCCCAGTTGCCTCGGTCACCTGGTTCCCCCAAGAAGCAATCATTTGGGCCTGCTTCGGTAAGTCTGATTTAGTCGTCCGGAACTCATATATATGCTCATGTGTCCACAGCTGACTGCCGGCAGGCGTCCGGAGGTCATGGTGAGTCTTCCGGACAGGTCCGGAACTCGCATGTATCATTCTTACTCATGCCCATTGCATTAGGAATCTCCCGTTAGTCGTCCGGAGGCTCGGGTAAGTCTTACAAGCTCGCCCAGAACTCACATGCGTACTTACAATCTATCAGGCAACCTCCGGCAGTCGTCCGGAAGTTGAGGAGTCCTCTGATGATACTTCCAGCGCTTCGGATGGTGACCCCCCGGCCAATACCACATTTGATATCACCATTCCCGGCCCGGTGAGTACTCCAATTAATTCCCCTAGTCCATCTACTAACAGATACCACAGAACAACCCCTGCCATTATTGCGTCAAGGAGGATTGGCCCTGCGCGACCCGTTTTGACAAGAGGACCAACCTCCCCTGCTTGTCTTGCATCCGCTGCTCCACCAAGAAGATCAAATGCAACCCTGCATCTCTGGGATCCCGCCCAAACGGATCCTGAGGGAAGTCTACCACCGGCCGGACTGCATTCCAAGACATCTGCCCCTGCTCCATCCACTGCTCCGTCTCCCTCCCTGTCAAGGGCCCGAACTCGTAGTCAATCTCGTGGCCCGTCCCGAACTCCGGCCATCCCTGCTGCAACTACACCCCAGGTGCAGTCACATGGTCGCAGCAAGACCATCACTACCAAGAAGACACCTGCACCTGCACCTGCACCTGCGCCAGCTCGTAAGTCACCCAAACTTTTGATGACCTGCTGACCTGATTTTTTACTTAGCTGTTCGGTCTTCGAGCTTCGCAGTGCCTCGTGCAGCACTCGATGTTCCCATGCCGGATCTCCATTCCATGGCAATCGCGATTCGGGATGGTGCAGCTCGCATCGCTATTCTTGAGGCTCGGGTGCAGGAGCAGGATGCTAAGATTGATACCCTGCAATGCCTCCATGAGAGCCTCCGGGCACAGTGGTCGACCGGCACCCTTCATTTTCACTTCCGGACACACCGGCCGATGCAACAATCTTGCTTGATCAATCCGGTCCCCACCCGTCCATTTCACCCCTCCCCTCCGCACTTTCCAACCTCATTGATTTGGACATTTCAGTGATGCAACCCACACCCTTGATGGTTGAGGATGGATCTGCTATGGTAGGTCTCATGGTTGAGCCCACCCAAGTTCAGCCTGAGGGTCCACAATCCTCCTGGCGAAATTGTGCTCCCGGATGAACCAGGCAACCTCTTGCCAGAATCCTCCGGCAATATTGTGGTCCCTAATGAACCAGGTAACCTCCTGCCAGAATATGATTCTTCTGATGAGGAGTTGGATGTTGAGGGGAAGGTTGATCTTCCTGGTGAGGAGGTTGAAATGGCTACATAATTGCTCAGTGATAGATGTACATAAATCTTTTTCAATGCATGTTACCTATGCCACAATTGAATAATTTAATGACCAGTCCCGATATCCAGAACTCGAAACTGTAGATTGAGGTAGATATCACCCTAAACCCTAACACCCGAATGTCAAATTTTCAGTGCCGAACCCCGAGTGCCGGGTGCCGGGTGCCGAGTCCCGAAACCCGGAACTCAGGATTTGCCATTTGAGACTAACGACATTTTTCAGACATGTTTATATCAACCTACATATATCTATAAACATTTTACTAACCCCCAAACCCCGACATATATTTTTGTTGTGTCATACTGAGTTCCGAGTTCCGGGACCCCTGAACCCCGAAACCCGGCAGTCCACAATTTTGGGGTTCGGGGGTTGGTAAAATGTGTATGGATAGATGAAAGGTTGATTTAAACATTTTTGAAAAATGTCTCATATCAAATGTCAAGTCCTGAGTTTTGATTTCCGGGTTTCTGGAGTGCCGAGTCCCGAAACCCGGAGTCCCGAAACCCGAAACCCGGAATTCGAAACTCAGGACTTGACATTTGATATAAGACATCTTTCAAAAATGTTTAAATCAACCTTTTATTTATTCATAAACATTTTACCAACCCCCGAACCCCAAAATTGTGGACTGCCGGGTTTCAGGGTTCGGGGGTCCCGGAACTCGGAACTCGGTATGTGAGACAACAAAAATATATTTCAAACATGGGTAAGTCAATGTGTTTGTCAATCAACTCGATTGTAAATCAAATTTTATTGATCTCCCCAAATTTCCCAAGTTCCGAGTTCCAGGGACCCCCGAACCCCGAAACCTGAAACCCGGCAGTCCACAATTTCGGGGTTCGGGGGTTGGTAAATCTCGGTTTGGGGTTTTGCACTGAAAATTTGACATTTATATTTTTGTGAGTGTTGTGCTTCTGGTGTCCGTGCTTAGAAATAGGATATGTTGCACACCAGGGTTCAGGTGTGGGGTTTTTCCACTTCAGTCCTCGATTATTGGTCAATGCCACACATGGTCGATTCATGTTTTCGTGCTTAGGGGTTTAGATTCAGTGGTCGATGGTAGGTATATGCACTCATAGTGTACATGTATCCTACGTGTTTGATTGCTGGTGGCTACATCAGCTGTATGTCTTGATGAAATGTATCTAGGCTCACCCATATATGTACCCATCTATGTACAATTCCCCCACGTCAGCCCACCCATCTATGTATTATCCCCCACGTCGGCCCACCCAGTCTATGTAATACATCCTATGTTGGCCCACCCGTCTATATAATACATCCTACGTCGGCCCACCCGTCTATATAATTATAGCCCACCTCGGCCCACCTGTCTATGTAATAGATATTTTATCACACCCTCGGCCCACCCGTCTATTTGATATCCCTTTTGTCGGCTTACCCGTATATGTAATACTTTCCACGTCGGCCCACCTGTATATGTAATACACCCCACGTCAGCCCACCCATCTATGTAATATTCCCCTACCTCAGGCCCACCCATATATGTAATACACCCCCGTCGGCCCGCCCGTCTATATAACAATATTTGCCTTACATCTCTCTTCAGCCCAGCTGTCTATAATATCCTACTCTACATATTACCCAGATGGGCCCACCCATCTCCATGAATGATCATATTCCCCCGGCCCATCGGTCAACATCAAGGATATATATATCATTGGCATACATGGGCCCACCCGTCTCCATCGGAAATAATATGTGTCCCTGGCCCATCCGTCATCATCGAGAATATACACAACATGGGCCCATAATCCGCTGGCCCGTCTCATACGGGATATTATGTAGGTCGGGTGGCCCGTATAATACGGAATTTGTCACTGAAGGGGCTCCATACAAAGATGCACTGAGCTGGGCGTTGTCCACCTAGTTGGTCAGGAAATTGCACTTCAGGAAGGGCAGGCTAATGACACCCTGCAAGCAATCAGAGTGCTTCTAGCGGACAAGGCGGTGCTCTTCTGCACCACGGTCCGTCCGGCAAAATCTCAGGCCAAGGTCACCAGAGCATGGACTCAGGTACATTCCGTGGAAAAGGTCATCAGACTACAAACTATGATTTATTCAAAATGCTGGGCGCAACTTGGCAATCTACAAGCCCACATTCTACTGGAAAAATATCTCCGGATGGAGAAGAGTCATCTGAAGGCAAGCGCTGCTGTCGCTGATCTGAATGCCCAGGGACAGAGAAACTCCACACTTCCATGGTTCTGGTCTCTCGATGTACAAGGTGATTCGATTAGCAACGATTGGATGAATGAATGTGAGTCACCGTCCAAAGACCATCATGTCCGAACAATAACCGAAAATAGTCTATAGGGTCCACTGGCTTCGGGCCAAGGCTTTGCACGACCGGTGGTTGGAAGAGCAGTTGCTCGTAGAACATGAAATGGGTTGGACCTTACAATTTTTCCTCTACAAGGCAAGTATGTGGTTGTCACATATTACTCACAATGGCGATCCACTGCCGGAAGGGCACAAATGTTACGCAATTCGGCAGGCTCACATGTACCACAAATTGGCCAAACATGCACGTACAACCTTTCTCAAGGCAAATCCAATGCTCAAGATCATTGTTTAATTGCCGAGAATGTTGTGTATTTTGTGGATCAGAGTAAGAGTCATAAATAGTCCACATTATGTTTTTTGCATACAATGAAGGCATCCCAGAATATGAGCCACATTTCCGCATTTGTGTTTTCAAGCTCCAACAATGCATATAAACAAGCTGTCCAGGACCGGTTTCATGTTAGTTCCCATACCATACTTACCATGACCGAGCAAACTCGCACACTGTACGAGTCCATCGCCAGCTCATTCTCAATCTGGGATGCAGCCCACATATTTGAATATGCCACCTCCAGATTCACCGCTATTCATCTCATGCAGCTGGCAGAGCCTAACCCATCAGGTGCCTATCAGTACTCGTTTGTTCAACACCTCATCTGGGAGGCGGAGGTAAGTCCATTTGGAACAATCAAATAACCTTACTGATACAGACTTTAAAGTGTTTCGTGATCCCTTTTTTGAGCAAGTGCACGGTGATGAACATTAATATCAGCATGCCGGTCTATCTCAGCAATGTCCTCCTTCACATAACATACTTTCAGATGGAAGACCGAAACCACAAATCACTCTTTGCGAGATTACAGGACTATCCGCACAACAAAGATGGTAAGGCGGTAGATCAATATCGAGTGGTTCCACGCTACCACTACTGCTGGTGGAAAACACCATGTCATTTCATGGCTATGCAAATGCCTCCGGCTTTCAGTAGCTCAGGTGAACGAGCTAACGGCCGATCACTTCAAACAGCGGGTGAGTGATTTTCAGTCTTAATTATAATTTTATTAATGGACAATCAGCCAGCCTTGGGTTTGCTCATACCGGAACCAATTACTCATCCACGGATGGATAACCCGCTCCTTCAACAACTTCATGTTCTGCGGACTGAAGTTGGCTGGCTCGGTCTCGACCTCGGACACATGCTGGTTAGCAAACTCGAAGCCACGGGAGCGGCGGTCGATGCAATGAACCGACTTGAACAGCCTCTCGACGAGGTCTATGACGCTATGGCTGCCTCTCAAGCGGCAGTGGACGTGTTGGCGGAAGATTATAACAATGGCCGGATCAGAACATCTCTGCACGGAGATCCATTCCCTCAATTGCATCCCTTTGTGCGCCAATGAGGGCAGCCGCGATGTTGAATAGTTACGGAAGCATATGTATATATTTAGCAAATGGGTCTGGTGTATGTAAATATTAGATGAGATTTGTCCGGTAGCTACCTGTGTATTACAATTCAATGACAAATGCCATTGCTGGATACCAGAGCATTTTGAGATTACGTGTATAACATTGCTGCCGCTAGGGTTGTTACATCATAAGCATCGAGGCTGCTCAGCAAATGTTCACTTGAGATGCAAGCCATGCTCACACACCATGCCCTTTGTCTCAATCATGATATCCCATGAGTATTGGGAAGCTTACCATGAGAAACTGGCTGCCCTTGATCTCAACACTCACCCGACATCATTCATTCCACAGGATTGGGCTCTCAATGCTGTTGACATAGCTAGTGAATGGGTGGAGCAGCAGTTCGCAGCACATGTTGCCAGCAAACCACTTGTTCCTGCTCCTCCGGAACTTGATCCTAAAACCATGCTAGCATGCAGACACCTTGCGTTCGTGCTCGCAGAGGCATATCAGCATCCCAGTGAGTTCAGCGCTCTATTGTTATAACAGTATCCTGACGTGTGAAGTCAAACTGGATATCGATGTCATCCAGTACAATGAGGCATTGACCAAACGGGAGTCAGGACTGAATGATGCTCATGAAGAAGCTTTGTTAGCAAAGTTCCCTCCCGCCAAGCCCATGTTGTTAGATCGCCCATCGGTGGTAATTGACGCTGGTTGCCGAATCATATTATGGTATCTGCCGGGTGCACTGAACTGGTCCCTGCAGGTGAGCGGAGGTCCGCAAAGATGTCTGATAACACTGACAGAAAATAAGTGTGATATGTTTACTGCCACGGTCGGTATGGGCAACCTATTACAAAACAGCATCACCACCGGCAAGACATCGACCAGAAGGACGGCGAAATGGAGAACAACCACGTCGAACTTTCACCCCGCACAAGAACCTGGTCTAATTCCCAGGTGCATCAATATTTCACCTTGCTGGTTTCAACAGGGCATGAGGTGAGATCAAGCTTACCCAGATCATTGCATGCTGAACACATGCAGTGTCAAGGCCCGCCACCACAGAATCCGTTGGACGGGTGTATTCCAGAAGTCTCTGCCACTTTGAAGAGCGATAGAAGCCTGTCATCGATTATAGATATGCAGTGTCCGGCTCTCTTGTCTTCAGCAGCCCTTCGGGTAATGCACCCACAACTTTACCGGGCATCAATGTTCACTCACGTAGAACTCGGGCATTGGGCGGCAGCGCATGGTGAAGATCAGATGTACCGATGTCTCCAGCATTGGGTGTCAGCATATTCCGGTGCTGTGTTACGACAAACGGTCGTGTGCGACTAGGATGATCTAAACAGCGACAACCACGACAGTGGTACCAAGTGCTGAGAGTCGTCGGCCTTTACAGACAAGCAAAGGTTGCGTACTCGAACGTAGCTCGTGGTGGTTAACGAGGGGTTACGCTGAGATGATAGCGGTTTACAGACAGTGAGAGGCGTCACTGAAGGTACGAGTCGATGTCAAGCAGGTGGCTTTAGCGGGACAAGGAGTTCAAGGGTAAACCTAGTAAGATTAAAGTAAGGAACGTCTACTTGTAATCTTCGACCTTATATAAGGCTACTCTATCGTATCTAAGCTCAGCCTAAAGCTGGGTTCTAATATGCTTATCTACATGAGTCAGAGATAGCGTCCATGAGGCGGGCTTCTATCGTAGATAGCGTCCATGCGGTACGCTTCTATCAGAGATAGGATCCACGTGGTATCCTTCTATCAGTCCATGAGGCAACACGAGGCTTGCCTTCTATCTTGATAACACAAATAGGTCTTCTAGACCTATGTCGTCATGTCTATGTCACGTGCGGTCCAGACCGCTTATCTAAGCCGGCAGTTGCCACTTATCGTCTCTCATCTATCATCTATCGTCGTCTATGGAGCTGGTGAGACTCCGGTGTCGTCTATCGTCTATAGCCGTGCGGGTGGCAGAGGGCTGTCTGCTGGCGGGGGACTCGTGCCATGTTACTGTAACATGCTGCAATCGTTTGCAACAGGCAATCACCTGGTCATCAGGATCCCAAATGCCCTCCGGAGGGATTTGACATCCTTACTTGCATAGGAAGCTATAAACATGCAGTGATGAATTTGACAAACTTGGGAATCGATTTGGTGTATAATCTGGGAGTTATTCTGGCTGGCTTGTGAGGCACAGCATCCGGGTGGGGGAGGGTGACAGAATTGCGTGGGCTTGGTTTATGTGGGACAGCGTGCACAATTATGCCGGAACCCCCCATACAGAGTTTGCAAAATACAGCCTGGCCGACTTTGCCACCTACCACCTAGCGAGATATAATCAGGCTGATTTTGTTTGGTACCAAACATGATCCTGTCGGTAGTTCTGACATTGCTTTCTTAGACTCACATGTATGTCGATTCTTTAGATACTACGTTGTTCCCATAATTCATAGGCTGATGTTTGAGTGGCTATTTGAGGTCGATACTGCTTTATTCATTAATTATAATTTCAGTCCACCCACCCTCTTTCATCAGGGAGCTTTGTGAGATGGAAAACGGTCATCCGAGATGGTGATTGGCCACTTTCACATCACTGCACACAACTGGTCGATTGTGTTTGTAACTGGGAATATCCTGGATACGTTCTCAGTGCAGTGATACAATTTGTTCATTGGCCAGGTCACTCTCGGCAGTCAATATATTTACAATTCTAAATCTACTTGTACCGTCGCCCAGAATAGGACACCAATTTATGTAGCCCGACCACCCCTTTCACAAGTTGTAATCATGTCGTCCAGTTGTTCCATGATCCGGCGGTGTACATTAAGGAAATGATGAATGGTTGCAATGTCCTTGCTTAGTTCTGTTGCTTTGATCACTGTGTCTGAGTATTTCCCCAGACCATCTCGATTTGCCATATGTGTCAATGCTGGCATGGGGTCATGGCCACCCTCGGTAGTGGGCAGTATGTTGTTCAGGTATGAATTGACTGCCCATTATGTTAATCGTGAGCAATGCTAAATCAGGATACTTACCATCCTGATGCCAAATACTGCGTAGGTGTCGGATGGCATGTTGCATAGAATGCTCCGCATGTTGGAAGACATTGTTTTCATTTCCTGCATGCGTGCTGGGCATACCTGCACAGCTTCAGAAGTCATAATGCAACCATGTGGAGGATGACTCACCTATTGGCATACCAGATGACACAAGGTCAACCATATCGTCACCGGCTGTCACAGTTGGTTCAACCTCTCTGCCATCCCATCCACAATCATACGGGTCCTCAGCCATGGATGGGTCTACATCCTCATGGTGCTGTTCTTCCATCACCGCTGGGAATAGCTTATCGGTATCCATCGGATCACCCCATCTGCAGTCATACTGATCCTCCACTGACTCACCCACAGACATAATGTCTCGATCATCTGTTGGATCATCCCACCCACAGTTGTAGGCATCAGCGGGTGACGCACTGGATTCCATGATCAATTCATGACCCATCGGGTCATCCCATCCGCAATCATACATATCGTCCCTGGACTCACCCACAAGCATGATGCTTTTGTCATGCATCACATCGTCCCATCCACAATTGTAGGCATCCGCCACCAATTCACTTGAACCGGCGATGCCTACATCATGGCCAGGATGGCGCCATTCACTGGCATATGCCTCTGCTGACCCCTGCAAACTAGGATTATCCCATCCACAGTCATGTGGATCCTGGTCATTGCTTCCAGTGATGTCGGCGATGGATCCCGTAATGTCAGAGGTCCGCATGCTTTCCAAAAGATACATATCTTTGGACCATTTGTTAGAAAAGAAATGGAAGATCGAAGTAAACCTGAGGCTCACCGGACAGCATGCTTGTGACTTCGTCAAAGTGGCCGTTGAAGCATAGCTCGTATGCTAAGGTGCACCATCCAGTGAATGAAATGCATAGGTATGAACATCAGCTTACCTTTACATCTTTTTGCAAAGGGATCATCCGTTTTTTCATAGCCGGGGGAAATTCATTCTCCAAGTTATATTCTGTTGTTGGAAGTTTGTTAGTATCCTGGCTCAGGATGGGCCATGCTTACTTTGAAAGCATGGATAGTCCGCCAATCCGACTACTCCTTTGAACTTGGATTTTCTCAGCTTGGGAGGAGTCCATGACTCTAATGGTACATAAGCACCCCACCAGGCAATTGGATCTGCGTCTAGAGGAAGGTGTAGCACTGCCGGACTGTTGCTGTCGACATTGCTGCCGTATATGGAGAACATGGAGGGGGTATTGCCAAGGTATGGCCGTTCGGGAGTAACAAACCGCACTGTTCTTGGGGTCATGATAGTTTGGTTTGAAAGAAAGTTTCGAGGAGGATAGAAAACAATCCAACGAGTGGCACCGTGTCGCAACTGTGGGCCATGGAACAATGGTGGACGAGATCATGATATTACATCATACCATTCATCTTCTTCACATTGCACCACACTCAGAAAGAGCCACAACCAACGTGTGGATATAAATCCCGACCCATGTGCAAATTTTCAAAAGTCACCTTTCTGTCCCTTCCGTATACCATCTCACCCGTTACCCTGCAACAAAGTTTCAATATCGCCATGACACCTGCAGATGCAGCTAATGAGGCTCTGAATGAAACACTAGCGGCTGTGCAATTGTTAATGAAGCGGTGCATGATGTTGTGGCAAGGTGATCCAGAGGCCTTGAAACTATCGGATGAGATCGCCAGACGTGTTGTGAGTGTTATTTCTTGCAACTATGTTATTACTATTATTAATATTAACGCCTTTGGCAAAGGCAAAAGACTTGAGGCTTCATGCAGGGATTGCCACTTCATTGTCCCCGCAGCTATTGTCATGTGCTGCCATTGTGCGAGACTGCTCAAAGGGTGGCGTCTTTCAGACTTCGCCGGATTGGACGTCTGTTACCGACAAGGACCCAAGAATTAAGTGTCACCTGCAGTTCAATAAGACGATAGATTACCGCTCTTGCATTGCAGTTAAGATTCCTGTTCTTGTGGAAACTCCAACATTATCATCTTCTGCAACTTCGGCACCGGTCTCATTTACAACACCACCTCTCGCAGCTGTATCTACCCCTGATCTTCCTCCCGGAGACATGAACCATGCGAGAAAACCTGCAGCACTGGCAATAGAACTGTTGCCATTGTCACCATCCCCATTCTCAAAGGCATTGGAACCTCTGACCCCCCTTCCTGTTTCAGCTCTGATCCTGCTGAGATACAACCTTTTGTGCCAGGCACGAATGCGATGCCAAAGGTCGGCAATGGTAAGAAGAGACGGGCGGAAGATGACGACCCGGTAGAGGCCAAATCGGTCGACATGTCTAACTCGACTTCCTGGTCACGGAAGTCTGTTCCGAAGAGGGAACAGGTTAACGTCAGATGATGAAGAAAATGAGACTACCAAACCATCTCTGACACAGGCGAGTCCTGCTCCTTGCATTCGGCACAGCTGACCCACCATCTGATTATATTCCTTAAGGTGGTACCATCACCGCTCATCACCAAAGAGGATTTGGCACTGGCATGTTTGGATTGCTCGGAAGGAACTGATGATAGGGGTTTCTGGGATGCAGAAACCAGGGTAAGTGTTTTCATTAGGCTCACCACAGATTCTGACTCGGATGTTTATCAGCCTGTTGAATGGGGCCAGGACTCTGCTATCGTGATGGCAGTGAAGGTAAGCTCCTCATTATTCATAAAAAATCAACACTAAGATGTTTGAAGTATTCTGTTCATCATCACCCGCAGAAATGCGACAAGTGCACCAAATTGGGTGTGGCATGTCTTGTCCTCCCGGATAAGAAGTTCGGATGCATTTGACTTGCCTGCGCTAATTGTGATGAGATGAAGATCTCATGTGCGATCAATGGAGTCGGTGTCTGAGAATGAATGCAGGCCAAGGCTAAGGCCAAAGCAGCAGACAACACCCGCAACACTGTCAGACACTCCAAGTCACGTGCCCCCAAGTCCCGAGTTGTGATCAATACTCCGGTCAATACCAGGTCCCGGAAGACCCTGATACCACCGGCTCTGTCCTCTTCGGAAGTTGAGCCCGATGTTATTGAACGCAGGGGTGAATGTTTTCATTCCATGGTTGGTACTTGAACTGACACTCATTTAGACTCTGCTCCGGACGCTAAGCCAATGTGCATGGATGTCTCACCGGTTCCCACAGAGGTTCAACCGACACCTATGATGTGCCCACCTGCACCCATCGAGGCAGAAGCGCCATGGGCGGTCAATCCCGTGGAGCCTGAGCCAACTGCAAGGGACATCCTGCAGAGCATCCAGGATCTCGGAAGGCGGCTTGATCTTCTTGCCACCAATGAAAGGGTTGATGAGTTGGATGCGAGACTCGGTTCGGTGGAAGATATCTTTGGGCAGCAATTGAGTGCACTTGAGCAACATCTCAATTCATCGGATACAGAATGGAGAGCAATGTCAGCTTCCATTGGCCATTTAACCATTGCTATCCGGGACCATAAAGATGATCTGACTGTGCACCATTCCCAGATCAACACTACCGCTTACGCCCCCCCTACTCATGCAAATGCACACCTCCCGGCCTGGCTCGCTCACAGTGATGAAGACCCACACATCTCAGCCATTGGCCAACAGTGGACTCATGCATGGGATGCGTCCGTTATGACAGGTGTTCAAGGGCATGTCGGAACCTCAGCATCTGCTGCCCTCATTGCTGAAACTCTTGATTCTACAGTCCCGGCAGCAGATATATCGCCTGAACCCTTTAGCGATCTTTCAACAATATCCGATGATTAAATACGAATTATTGGATCCTGATGAACAGTGATGATATTCTGTCTTTACTTAGTTTTCATTGCATACGTTTGGTACTCCTACACATTGACCATATTACATATGATACTCTATTGGAAGGTGTGTAAGGTTAATATGTAGCCTGGGCCTGGAAGATCAAATTCAATAGTTTGTGAATCTTCCAGAATTAACTTGTCTGAGTGACAAACATTATTCTGCGGTCAGTATCATTATGGATGTCATCCTAACTCAATTACTTTATAGTTATCATATCAAGCTGTGATATCCAATGGCATAATGCTCCGGTTTGGATAGTTCTTGCGGTCTTGGCACAGGTGTGAATGCATGGTTTGTCACTCCTGACGACGGCACAGCGGATGCAACATGTACGGCGTATCCCTCTGGCATGAATATCAGCGTCAGATCCGGATTGGCATTGATATCATTACAGAGTTCTGTTGCATAAATCGTGGTGCTGGATGCCCATTATTACTCACAATCTTATGTTATGTAGTGTAGAAGTTTGGTAGTTACGCCTACTTACACAGTATACACAGTTCAAATAAAAAAATCCTTTACCAGCAGGAGCCAAATTTTCCATTATCACTCAAGTGCCGGGTGGACACAATGTCAATGTTGGATGCCATCATTGTGAATCGGTACCACATTCGGATTCGTTTATCTGGGCATTAGTGGACAGAGTGTGACATACCATTGTGTCAGACAATTGTCAAACCACTCATGGATACGATACTGTTCTTCCCAGTCCACATTTTCCAATCCACAATCCATAACTTTCCAGCAATACCCACAACCGGATCCGATTTAAATCCAGACTTGTCAGAATTTCCCAAAGTCAACTTTTGATATCTACCGTATTCATTTCCCTCTGCACCACCTTATTTTGTTTATAAATCCATCATGACCGTACCCACGGAAGCAGCTAACGATGCATTGAACATCACACTGGCCGTGGTGCAATCGCTCGTGAAGCAATGCATCAAGGTGAAAGAGGGCGATCCAGAGGCCTTGAAGCTATCAGATGAGATAGCTAGGCGCATGGTGAGTGTTTCTAATGTTCCCCTCGAAATGTTATGTTAAACTAACATTTGACACAGGCAAGAGACTTGAAATTGTATAGTGGGAATGCCACATCATTCTCCCCACGGCTGCTCTCTTTTGCTGCCGTTGTGAGACAGCACTCTAGGGGTGGTGCCTTTCAGAGTGTCCCCGACTGGACCTCTGTTGCTGACGATGACCCATGGATCAAGGACCACCCGCGATCCGAGAAGACCATGGTCTATCACCCACCCTCTGTGCTTGATGTCCCCACAGTTGCAACATCGAGCACCATTCCCACCACCATTCCCACAACAACTTCAGCTCTCATTGTCCCACCATTAACGCCCTCTGCTCTATCATCCATGCCATCCCGCATGGACCCGGATCTCATCACCAAGCCGGTAGCGGAACCAAAACGATCTTCACGCTTATGAGCATGCAAGAATCCATCCCGCACAGACCCGGATCTCATTGCCAAGCCGGTAGCGGAACTGAAACGATCGTCACGGCCACGAGCGCAAAAGAACCTGCCTCTTCTCGGACGTCCAGCAGGTCCACCTGCAAGATTCTACCACCTTTATGTGGACAAAACTAAGAAGAAACCGGAGAAGGGCGTTTTGCAGGTCGGCGATAGCAGAAAGAGAAAGGCTGAAGATGAGGATACTGATGGGGCCGTTGTGGTTGTCACCCCCAAGTTGCCTTCCCCATCCCAAGAGCCGATGAAAAAGAAGAAGAAGTTGAGTCAGAATGTTGAAAAGAGGCCAACAGGAATCATGTTATGGTACATTCATTCCCTTCGCTTCTCCTTCGTTACCGGACAATGGTACCTTGATACCGCTATTAACGAGCGACCAATTACCTTCCAGACTCTTACTCATATCATCGCTAAACTGACCTTCCGTGCCGGTAACCACCATCATGCCTAGTTACTATCTCTTATCAAAGCGGGCTGTCCGCACCATGGTTACTATCTCTTATCCCTTATCTCTTACCATTCACCAAGCGGGCTGTCTGCCTTCTATCTTGATAGCACATTTACAAGCTCCGCTTGAACTCTCGCTATATAGACACATAGTGTACCACATGTAGTTCTTCACTTTAATCTACTGGGTTTTACCTGGAACATAGTCCTTTAGCAAGGTCTCCAACCTTGCTATCTAAGAACCATTATTCTAAGGGAGTCGCTGATACTCGCCTTAGCCAGAAACCTTTGACCTCTCATTTGAGAGAAGAACCACGTCTGTCTTGCCGAATCCCAGTCCACTCGGACTAAGACAGCTCGACCTATCCCAGTCGTAACAAATCATCGATGTGAAGCCAAAGGTATGTCTGTTGATCTTGGTTCATGTATCAAATGGCTTACTGCTCCAGGCATTACCGACCGTCACTACTGACAAGGTTGTGCCGCTAGGTGATGACAAGGGTTTCCGGGATGCAGAAACTCAGGTATGTGATCCGCACTTATCCATATCGCTGATATGCTAACACATTTCAAAGCCTGCAGAATGGGGCTCGGATGCTCATATCGCTACCCTGTGCCAGGTAAGTCCATCAGTACATACACAGGAGTCCACAGCTAACATATTTCAAGCATTCCGTTTGTTACCATCCTTGGCAGTGCAACAAGTGCACAAAATTGGACATACCCTGCATTGTCCTTCCGGACAAAAAGTTCGGATGCACACGACTTGTGTGTGCGAATTGCGACCAGATGAAGATCGCCTGTGCGATTGACAGCATCGGTGTCAGGCAGAGAATGCAAGTGAAGGCGGCTGCAGCTACATCAAAGCTGGCCGGACATTCCAGAATGCGCATTCAGAAGTCCCGTGCGATCTCCAAGACCCCGGCTAAGAGAACACTTGCCCAACTCCCTTGTGTTAAACTCAACATAGTTGAAGGTGAGTTTGGAGTCACGTCGGAAGAACTCAAACTGATCTGAATGACTCTTAGAGCCTGAGCAACAGCCTAGCCTGCCAGCTGATGCGCCCATACCAATCATTGGCACAAGTCAATGGCCGGAACAGGGTGATCAGCTTGTGCCGACCAACCGCGCCGATCCTGAGCCAACTGCAAGAGACATCTTGCAGGGCATCCGGGACCTCAGCAAGAGATTGGATCTCCTGGCCACTAATGAGCGTGTGGACACCTTGGAGATAAGAGTGCATTCGGTGGAGAATATCCTCCACCAGCGGTTGAACGCACTGGAGCAACGGCTCAATGCCCCGGATGCCAGGTAGAGAGCAATGTCGGCACTTCCAGTACTCGTAGAACCAACTAGTTTCCGGGACTCTTTGTGTCACAATACCCAGATCTTCTGTGCAGGTCATCAATACCATATATATTGTACTTTTAGCTACTCCTTTACTTACTATACTGTTCCCGGTCACTGTCCCTTGTAGTTCGAATCTCAGTTTATGTAATTTGTAGATATGAACTGTATTGTTGTTTTCCTCAATATGTTGTCTTCCCTGGTGAGGAAATGCTTTACTTCATGATGCTCACATTAAGCTGTGACAGCCAATGGCATAACAATCTGGTGTAGATAGTTCATGCGTTTGTAGGTGTATCATTGCTGATGCTACATGCACCGTGCATCCCTCCAACATGTGTATCAACATCAGATCCGGATCAACATTCATAAAGAACTTTATCCCGTATTTAGTTACTTGTTTCCATTGTGAGACATGAGGCTACCTAATGGCTATGGATGCTGAACTAAACACATACTTCAAAGTACATACATGACTGCCTATTATCATACAATCTTCTGGAACCAGGCATCACAAGCTGATCGGATGTCCGATCTTCTTATACAAGATGGTGCAAATTCTGACCCATATGCATAGCATGGCCAGCCTGTATGTGTTCATGTGGGAGAATTGCTGGCATATTCATTCAGAAAATTGCATGTTCATGTCGCCCTCAACTTGTGGGACAACCGGATCCATTCGGCCACATTACTTCACCATATTGATGCCATCAGCAAAATAGGTCAATTATATTTTCCCAAGAGGCCAACCGATATACATTAATATATTGCTTTCATCCCATATCCAATCACCTGGTCATCGGATTTGCATTGTTGTGCAACTCGTTTGGGTCTGAAATCTTCATGTATTCCTACTCTCAACTCTTTCTGAGACGCATCACTATTGACTAAACTTTCACTATACCACCTTCGGAGACCAAATCCTATGTCGTCGTAATATCTATCGGCCATTCCAAAATCATATACACATGTACCGGGTACTCACAAGCCTTTCCGAGACCAAATGCTTCACTCTTTAGGCCAATCCGTAAGATACTCTACAGGCTGAAGAATCACTTGCCAGACCTTTCTGGAACTGTAGTGACAATTGACTTGCTGGGAATATCAGTAGGCCCTTTCGGTGCTCTGGACCAAACACTAATTTACTGGGCCTATCCGACACTCATTCTGACATAACTACTGAAAATCCATAGATGCTCGCCCTCTTGCCGGCCCCTTGTGTACGCCCTCAGTTGAAAAATAACTAGTCTCTGAGACTAAATGTGCATGGACTGGGCCGAAATCCCTAGCCGAGCCCTTCCCTGACTCATGAGATGAAACATCAGCATTGGGCCGAAGAAATACCCAGCTGGGCCTGTCAGGAAGCCCCTCTGAGGTCACTTGCACATGTATGAAGAACATCCCGCTGGGCCCAAGTGTCGGCTCTTCCGAGATCATATATGCCTATTATAGGCCAGAAACAACAACTCACTGGCCCTTCTGAGATCAAATGCACAGTCCATGCTGCATATTCTTATAAGTCGGCCCTTCCGAGACCAAACACATCCTCTTGGGCCAAAAATGACCAGCCGGGCCCATCTGAGATCATGTATGCCCATCATGGGCCAGAAACAATAACTCGCTGGCCCTTCTGAGATCAAATGCACAGTCCATGCTGTATATTCTTATTAGT